GCATTTAGCTTATCTAAGTAGGCTGCACACTTTAGCTTTTTCCATATATATATATATATATATATATAGATTTGGTACAAGGTGGTCACATTGGATGTGACATTAGATGGCTGCATTTATTTCATTGATCAAGCTCAAAGTTCAAATGAAAATTTTCGAACTTTGTAGCACACCCAAGCTATCAGATTTTACATCATATAGTTGTAAGTAATAAGAAGAGATACCTAACCCTCAACCCTGGGTCCCATAACTCTTACTATATTACCTATATAGAGAGGAACATTGAAGTATTTTACGAGGAGTGAACAATTAAACAGTACTCTGGAGTTACAGTTCCTAACAACCGAGTTCTTCCTTCATCCAAGTACCACCAATGATATCTAATTATAACCTTCATGTTACCTACAGGAATTGCAGAAGTACAATAATGAACTGAAAAAAAAAGTGTCATCTATAAACAGCAAGTGAGAGATTCAGATGTCATTCCGCCATATTCCTTGTTAAGGCCTTCCATTAGCCCATTACCGATTGCGCTCCACATAAATTTCTAACAAAGAAAACACCAAAGACAAAATGACATGATAACGATAACTTAGATGCATCATATGCTGGAATCATTTGGTGCCAAGAACTATCCAGTATAATCTTTACATTTTCCTACTTTATTGGTACTAGAGTGAGAAGGAAAAGCCAAGCTTATCACAGATGACAAACTCCAAAAATAAAATTTAACAGGGTGAAAGGGATTCACAATGGAACAAGAGATCTACCTTGTATTACAAGTGACAAATCGGTGGTGTCATGCATCTTATGGAAATCCCTAGTGGTGCCTAATACTTGGCGTATCATTAGTATAAGGTAAATTTATCAAAATATCCATAGGAGATGAACTATTCAACATTCACCCATTTGCAACTATTCCAAGTCATAATCATGTATCATTTCATGTGTATTTTGAAATTAAAGCAAAGGATATGGGTAGAATGTTAAATATTTCATCTTTCATGGGTATTTGGATCAATTAAAACTTCCAGTCTTCAAAACCTGGACCAGTGAGGTGGATCACACACCCACCGGTCACAATATGGCGGAAAGGCAAAATCCAAAAATAAAGAAAGAAACAATGAAGAAAGGCTTTAGGGTTAAAAGACTTCAAGAAATAATGAATGACAATAGAAAAAAAAAAAAGGGAAAAAAATGGCAAAGGGACTTTGAAGGGCGAATCAGAGAGGTTCTGATACTTCCCATGAACCTTCCCAGGAACAAGGCCAGTCCCAAACGATTACTTATCCGGATTGGTTATTCCCAATTTGGATTGCCTGGTTAAAAATCGCTGTACATTTCTGATCTTACCAACAAAAAAAAGAGTTCTCTCTCTTAGGGTTCTTGAATCGAGTTGAGAGTATCAATCTCAACGATAAGGAGTCCTGTTTTCAAAAGACAAAACACTAACTTCCATAAACTGTTTCCCTAATACTAATGCAAAACAAAAACATCCATAAATAAACAAATTTCAAAATCTTGTCCAAGATTATCAACCATCCAAACCCAAAAAAAGAAGAAAAAAAAAAAAAAACAGCTTACCCAACAAAAGACCCAATTAAGTCATTCACATGGGGGCCAAAATTGAAGTACTACCAACATCTCAAAATAATCAATGTTACTTAAATCTCAGAGGCAATCTTCAGCATACAATATCAGCTATCCCAGAGAGAAAAAGAGAGCAATTCACTACAAATCCAAGATCCTCAAATCCATCAAGGGGTCCAAATCAAAGAAATGCCAACTTATACTATGGAAGGCATAAAAGAAATCTTCAGAACAAGTCTCGATTAAGAACTCCATGGCATACTTCCTAATACCCATAACATACTTCAAAGCATCAGCAACCTTAGACCTAAACACAGTAATAGCACTCTCATACTTCTCAAAACTATTCCCAAATAACACAATCCTATTCAAATTCACAGGTTTCCAGTTTGCTGCTAATAAATTATCATACATAAAAGCATCACAATGTGGCATAAAAAACAATGTTGGTTTCATAACTTCTCTCCTTCCCATTTCATTTATAGAAATAAATGAGCATCCAAAACGCTCCATAACCTTCACCTCAATGGAAGAAATAATGGGATCAAATATCTCCATCCCATCTATACAATCCAAGTTTTCTCTCAGTAAAATTGCGAGAGAAAGTTGCAGACGCGACATCTCAGAGGCCTCAATGCTACCAATTCCATAAACTACCATGCCCAGCTTTGAAGTGGACCCCAAAACCCTAGGAAAATTTGCAGAAAGAAGGGGGCTTTCCAACTGACCAAGAAATCTATTGTAAAACTCTGATCCCCTTACCTTCTTCATGGAATTTTGCATCTTTTCCATCAATTTCGATTCTCCTTGACTGTCTATCTCTGTATCGACTGGAGTCCATGGTTGATTTAGGGTCTCCATCTTTTGACGGGCCTGTTCAATAGTTCTTCTGGTTCTACCTCCATTTCTCCTTCGGTTAGTAACCAGAGTCCACACTTCCTCACAACCCGAAGCCATGAAAGCATAAACCCTAGCTTTTCAGCCAAAAAAAAATGTATTTTGCAGAGAACCTCATCAGAAATAACACAAACCCCAAAATTAGTAGAGTCGTACAAATTTCTCGCAGAAAAACCTAGGGTTCATCAAACCAACGCTCACAAACCCTAAATTTGGAGCAAGGGTAAGCTTAATGCATTGAACACTAGGGTTTGGAAGAAACGGTAGATCTGGTCTGCACCTTTGCGGACAGCAGAACAGAAATACGAAAGGGTTACATGAGTAGATTCCTAAATTTGGAGCAAGGGTAAGCTTAATGCATTGAACACTAGGGTTTGGAAGAAACGGTAGATCTCGTCTGCACCTTTGCGGAGAGCAGAACAGAAATGCGAAAGGGTTACATGAGTAGATTGAATACCATTCAACAGTGATCTAAAAGCGGTTTCGTCCAAAAGTGAACCGGGCAGCTCGAGACCGGTTCTGCGACGAGCTCTTGTAGTTTGGCCCTATCGAAAAGATCGTAACGATCCTAAGAGACCCTACCGCATTCACGCATGTAGGATCCAAAAGATCATCATTAAACTTTCTAGAGATTTGTGTCAAATTTAATGATGATTCTTTAAAAATTTATAGATGTAAAAAGATCTCGTAGGATCATTATTTATGAAAACAATCTATTTTATTATCAAAATTAAAAAATACTCTCGGTGTTTGAGAAATTTACTTGTATTTCCCTTATATATATTAGGGTGCAGTTTGTATAGAGCTTAGACTCTAAACAATCAAATTAGAGTTGACCTTCAAATAGTATCGAGAAATGTGGTTTCAATATTAGAAATCTTTGCGATAGCTTTAAAATTCATTTTCATCTTTATTTATCAGGTTTAAAGCTTCAAAATTAGTGTAGAACGGAAGATCTATTAAAACTTCAAAATCTTGAAAATTAACAGTAAAAAAATGCATTATAAAATACACTATTTTCAAAACTTGCAATCCATTTTTTTCTCATGTCCATACATCTTAATGTTGAGATGATCAATTTGATGATATTTGGACATCAAAACAATCTCTTCTAGTAAAAATTTTGAGATAGACTCAAATATGATTGTTTAGAGCCTCGGCTCTATATAAACTTTTATCTATATATTATAAGGGAGAGGTTTCTATACTTCCCCTACAACATAGAAGATCTATATTTCCCCTACCATCCATCAGTCTTCTATGCTTCCCCTACCTTCTAGCCATCCAAATTTGATCATAAGAGCCACTCACCATTTGTTCTTAGATCCGACGTCTCAAAGTATTTTATTTTTTATTTTTTATTTTTATTATACAGATTGTATGAATATGAAATTTGGTACGTGTCATCTTCTCATTGGGGCGCACCAATAAAAAATATTAAAAATAATTTTTTGATAAAATATAATAACCAAAATATCCCTTGAATTTTTCAGAGGTATTTTAGCCAATTTATTTTACTGAAAATATTTTTTAAAAATTTTTTCGCTAGTGTGAGTTTAATAGAGGATTAGACATCCAAATTTTGGTGTCAAACTAGTTTATAGAAAAAATTAAAAATAAAATAGCGTAGAGATGTGACATTGTGATTGGAGCAATCTCAGCCCTCCATTTAGAATAGATGGTTGGATAAGGGGAAGTATATAAGTTTATGCTGTAGAGGAAGCATAAAAAGCTTGCCCATATTATAATTATGAAACTTCCCAAAATTTTGGATTATTATGCATGTATTCCTTTAGTCCAAGGGTGATTTATTATTACGCGTATATCACTCGCCATTGGATTTCAAGCCACCTCATTTGTCATTTAATAGCTAAAGATAACTACGGTTTATTATTGGATATGTTCTTTAATACATCCAAATGATTAAGACTTAAAGTAAAGTACTTTTATCTCCAATGGTTTACGGGTACTGAATGAGTCTAGCTCGACCAGACCTGTGCCTGTACAGTGTTTAGGTCCAAGTTTTGGACCCAGACCCAACCCACTGGGTCCAAATGCTGGATCCATACTTAGACATGTATCGGGTATACCCGATAGGTCTTGAGTCGAGTCCAGGTCTATTACCACCCCTACTTTAGTCTTCATTTTTTATTCTAATTTTATCCTCACTTTAGAGATTGAAACTTTGAAGTCAACATGCTAGTTGATGACTTCCAAATTTTCAATATACTTAGTCATCTTGTTCATTTTTTAAGTCATTTTTTTAGAAAAAAATTGAAGTCATTTGGATATTGAAAATCCCAAGTCACTCTTCACTTCGGATTTTGAATATCCAAAATATCATAGAAACCTCTATTTCTATGCAATTTCAGATATTCAAAATTTGAAGTTGACTATGGATTTTTAATATCCAAAGTGATTTCAGTTTTTTTCGAACAATATGACTATGGTTATTAAAGATCCGAAGTCATTTGTGATTTCCGATTTTTAATAACTAGATTGAGGGTAAAATTAGAATATAAAAATGATAGACAAAAGGAATGCGAGATAAATATACAAAAATTAGGCGGGATTTCATAATTACAATATTTATATGAGATATATGGGTAGATATCTATAAATAATATAGAGGCAAGCTTTCTATGCTTCCCCTACAGCATAGAA